GGCAAGTGCAATCCCGGCGGCGAGGGGAAGCTCCCGCCGCTTCCCCCGAGGAAACGCACCCGCTGGCTCCGGCTCCAGTTCCTCTGCCTCTTCCTCCCGTTTGATTTACAGCATGTGTGGAGCCTTGTGGGAAGTTTGTCCTGGCCTCAGCACTGTTTAATTACCTGCAGCAAGGGCTGTGCAGAGGAGAAAGCTGACTGCTTCCCAGGGCAGGAGGGACTGGATGAGGTGGGGGATGTGTGGACCCTTCTAGGCGGCACAGGAATGGTGAGGTGCCAGCATGGAGCTGGGATGATCCCAGGGAAGGTGGAAAGGGTGTCAGTATGGAGCTGGAATGTTCCCAGAGGAGGTAGAAGAGGTGCCAGCACGCAGCTGGGATGATCCCTGAGGAGTTGGAAGATATGCCAGCATGGACCTGGGATAATCCCAAGGGAGGTGGAGGGGTGCCAGCATGAAACTGGGATGTTCCTAAGGAAGATGAAAGGGGTGCCAGCATGAAGCTGGGGTGTTCCTAAGGAAGATGAAAGGGGTGCCAGCATGAAGCTGGGGTGTTCCTAAGGAAGATGAAAGGGGTGCCAGCATGAAGCTGGGGTGTTCCTAAGGAAGATGAAAGGGGTGCCAGCATGAAGCTGGGATGATCCCGGGGGGAAGGGGGGCGCCCGCCGCTTCCCCCGAGGAAACGCACCCGCTGGCTCCGGCTCCAGTTCCTCTGCCTCTTCCTCCCGTTTGATTTACAGCATGTGTGGAGCCTTGTGGGAAGTTTGTCCTGGCCTCAGCACTGTTTAATTACCTGCAGCAAGGGCTGTGCAGAGGAGAAAGCTGACTGCTTCCCAGGGCAGGAGGGACTGGATGAGGTGGGGGATGTGTGGACCCTTCTAGGCGGCACAGGAATGGTGAGGTGCCAGCATGGAGCTGGGATGATCCCAGGGAAGGTGGAAAGGGTGTCAGTATGGAGCTGGAATGTTCCCAGAGGAGGTAGAAGAGGTGCCAGCACGCAGCTGGGATGATCCCTGAGGAGTTGGAAGATATGCCAGCATGGACCTGGGATAATCCCAAGGGAGGTGGAGGGGTGCCAGCATGAAACTGGGATGTTCCTAAGGAAGATGAAAGGGGTGCCAGCATGAAGCTGGGGTGTTCCTAAGGAAGATGAAAGGGGTGCCAGCATGAAGCTGGGATGATCCCAAGGGAGGTGAACAGGATCTGGCCTGGTGACAGATGGGAAGCATTTCAACCCTGCCCAGCTGGACTCAGCCCCTGGACCCCATGTGCTGGGCTGGTGGTGGGAGGCTGCCCCATTGCCTGGTGCCCAGCCTGAGTCTGGCCTGGTGCTTCCTGCATCTCTGGTCTTGACAGCCTGTTGGGATGAGCAACCACAGCAGCAGGGCTGGGGCTGGGGAACAGCAGCAGCAGGGGCAGAGGGAGGGACTAGTGCATGGTCCCCAAGGTAGGCCATGAGATGGGGCAGCCACAGTATCTCTGCTAGAACAGTCTGGATCCTGGCAGGGGGCTTGGGGGTGCCTGTGGGTGTTTCTCTGCAGCCAAGGCTGGACCTGCCTGTTTCTGGGCAGTGCTGAGCACAGGCTTCACTTTGGGCTGTGTCTGAGCTTCCTGCCCTCTGCAGCACACCTCCCCCTTGCCTGCTTCCAGAAATAGCTGGTGCCAAATGCTTTGCCCACCAGCAGCTGCACAGTCCCATGGCCACCTGTGCCCTGCAGGCACTGTGTCCCCACCGGAGGGTGACACCATGTGCAGCAGCAGAGAGTGCTCCTGGGGTGCTGTTTGCCCTCGTCCTGCTCCCACCAGGAGTGTTTCCCATCTGGGCCCTGGCACCCAGATGTCACCAGATGTTGCAGCAGGTCCCAGCTGAGTGATCACAGCTGGTGGACCCCCCAGCTCACAGGGGGACTGCAGCCACCTCCTCTTGGCTTTCCTCCAGCACACCCAGGCTTGACTCCTGGGAAAAACAGGCTCCCATTTAGTTCCCCACCACCTTCTGCCAGGCCTTATCCTGCATCATCAACAGGAGGGAGCAGCCAGGTCTCTCCTGGGGGTCACCAGCCCTCAAAACCCCCCAAGGGGGGGTGGACAGCACAGGGCACCCTGATCCTGCTCAGCCTGGATAGAGAGGATGGGCATCACACCCAGTGACTGACGGGTGCAGACAGCTGCCTACTGTCACCTGGCTCTGCAGAAGCATCTGTTTCGTTTATCCAAAGCAAACTTCTCTGAGAATCACACCCTAAAGGCCGCAGCCTCTTTTTTTTGCTATTATTTTTTTAATCCTGGCCCGAGCCCCCACTGCAGATGAGCTCTGACTCATGACTCTGCACCCTCGGAGCTGGCAGCGTCACCACCACAGCCATCCCAGCCACAGCTGCAAAACATTCCTTAAATGTACAAACCATCCCTGGCCCCACCGGCAGCGCCGCGCAGCCGGCCCGAGCTGCAGCCGGTGGCACCGGGGCTGGCGGGAGGCAAGGGGGTCCCCAGGGATGGCGGGGGGCCCTGGGGTGCTCCCTGGGCGGGGGCAGCAGTTTGTGGCTGCCTGGAGCTCCCTGGCCCCCAGTTTGCAGGGTTTCAGCAGACGTGGCCCCTTTGTTGTTGCAGGTTGATGGTGCCCTGGTCAGCGGCAGCCCGGGGGGAAGATGGCTCAGCCCGCACCCCTGAACCAAAACCTCCCAGGTAAAGGGACCGGGGTTGGCACCAGAAGGAGCATGAGGGGGTGGCAGGGCCGTCCTGATGGGTGTCCTCACCCCAGCTCTGACCCAACACAGAGTGGGTGCCCTGTGACACCCAGCAGCACCGAGGGTGCCAGGGATGGGATGGGATGTCAGCCAGGCCCACCTCCAGCAGCACCAGGGCAGGGAGTGGGTTGCAGGCTGCAAATCCCAGTATAACCCAGTCAGAAAAGCCTTCCTGTCTCCACCAGGTCTCCATGTAATGGTCCGTGCTCCTCTTGCAGATCTTGGGGGCCCATTCCTGTACCGGGACCAGGACGATGGGGAGAAGAGCTCATACTCTGTGGAAACCCCCTATGGCTTCCTCCTGGACCTGGATTTCCTGAAATATGTCGATGACATTGAAAGTGGCCAAACACTCAAGAAAGTGCCTCGCAGGTCCAAAGGGGCCCGGCACCCCCTCGGGGCCCTGCGCAGCCCTTGCAGCCA